ATCAATATAAGTTTTCTAATTATGGAACTGATTTATTACATGAATTATTTTACATATTATATATACATAGCAGTGGCTGAAGTGTTTGTAATTGATAATTTGTTTATCTTCTCGCAAAGAGCAACCTTTTTTTATAGAGGACAGTCTTTTTCTGCAGATAATGTTCTTTTCAGACTCGGAGGTGCTGCGTGCTTTCATCATTTCTTCTTCATTCTCTGGTGTAAAATTATGTTTTTTTTACTGTGACTGTTTGATCTACCATTAAGTATTGTTTGGTTCATGGCTCTTTTGCATTCTTATGATTTTGCTGTATAATTTCATCTGTTTGAAATCTGAGGTAGCTCAATGTGGAAAAGCAGCACAAAATAGGCAGTATTAGTGGGTGGATGGCTCAGATTGTTGCAGTACTGATCCCTACACACATCCCTCTGTTTCAGGCTATGCACTGCATCTTCCTGGTCTATTCTCTCTTTATTCATGTGGGGGGGATTACTGTGAAGCAAGCAGCAAAGGGATTACTGAACAGCAGCAAAGGGATTAGAGGGGAAAGTTGCACCTCAAACACGGCAGCAGACCCCTGTGGCCCATATAAGAAACTCATGTACGGGTTAGAAAGTTGACTCTCTATAGCTGCTGTTACAGGACTCTACTGAAGATTCACAGGACTATTTTAGAAAGAGCTTGACATGCAGAGTTGACGAGTTTCCCCTGTTATGCTCCTGTGAGAGTTTGCTGTTCTTTTGGACTGTGGTACAGCATACAAAGGGGCAGGCTAAATGAAAGTCAGAAAGAGGACTTGAACCTATTCATTTATGGACTGGAGATTGTTAGAGATCCAAATGAAAAATGTAATATAAAACCTCAACATCACATTAGAGGCAAATGCTGTATTTTCATTTTTCAGTACTGTACTGAGACCCCATCAAAGCAGGCATTTGACCTTTTTTGAGGAGCAACGGAGCTCTAGAAATGTCAGTTTTATTTAGAAGTAGTCACACATTAAAAGTAAAACTGAGAAGCTGGTCAGTGAGTACCATTCTGGATGGGAACTTTTATTACAGCTATATAATCTGAGCCTCCAACTGTTACGTTTAGGTGTTATGTGAGTTATTGTGACTTCGTGGCAGATTGTGTCACTCAAACTGCAGAAAGGGAGTATTTCACCACCAGTGGTACTTTATAGAAATGGTTGAATAAGTCTTCATGTCAGCTTCTTGTGGAGAGCAGTTAAAGACAAGGTGAGGAGCTGTAGAAGGGCTAAAGCGAAGGGTGAGAGATAGGCCACAATCTGGAGAAGAATGAGGTTAATTATCAAAGGTTGTTTGCAGTGCTCATTGGTGAATTGTGTTTCTATATGATGGGGGCTCTCAGAACTGGACTAAAATGGCACTGTTAATGTTTGCATATCTAATTCCCCTAAAACAAGCTTTTCAGCTAATGATTGTTTTTAATGCACACTCTGGGTCTCCTGAGCTATCTTTGCTGGAAAAAGCAAATTTGGGCTCTGGTTAAAGGGCAGTTTGAAGACCTTAGATGACCAAATAATTCTTAAAATATACATGTATCCCTCCAATGCTATTTTTGCATTGAAATACTTAGTTAAACCATTAATCTTTACAAGTTTCTGCTTAGTTTTTGTCATTTACGCCAATGTCTCAAATTAAGTTTTGTAGTTGATTAAAAAAAAACATTTGCTTGAGTACGCTCCTCTCAGCTGTGCTTCAGATTTGCCTCTGAAACTCTTCTCTGAAGATAACATTTTCATTACAAGCATAACCTCCAGAGGCTTTTCGAGGATCACATACATGCTCAAGTCCTGTTGAGCGCGGCAGTCCCATATCCTATGAAACTGTATGTTAGGTTCCGAATGTGAGCGATGTGTGTGCAGACTGAGACTGATGGGCGAACCAGAAAGCTACACTTGTGCCTTTGCTGGTTGATCCAGAGCTCAAGTCTTTAATGCCTGAAAGAATTAAACATTAGATCACAATAAGCCATAAAATCTCTTTTGTAAAGAATCTTCCTTCTATTACTAGCAGGTGATACTATAGATACCCCTCCACACACCGGCTGTGACGTGGACATAATCTTAGTCTGTTGAAGTCGAAAACCACCAGCAAGGAAACTGACACTTTTCATTTACTTTAGACTTATGAATCATACAAAGTTGATAAAACAGGTCTATGGAGGAATCAGGGCAGTATGTAGAGACATGACTTATGCCAAATAAAATGTGGCCGATGTTTAAAGCTACTCTGTGAATTCCATGGTGGGCAGAAGAAACAAGTTTTGATGACTTTCATAAAAATGACTGTATAATTCAAATATTAAATTGACAGGATTCTTTAGAGTTGTTCCCCTTGTCACTTGGCAAAGCTTAGGGCCTTATTTAGATATCTAAATTCCTATATGAACCCCTGCAGTTAGTGTCCGCATCTTCAGTTTATTAATCATCCTCTTGGTACTGTGGTTGCAGTGGTACTCCTTTTTTCCTCTTCTAAAACTAGTAAACTAACCTTAAATTTTACATATTTGTTGTTGTAGACTTAAAGTAATGATTATCAGAAATGGATGAATATTGAGCACAACCAAAGCATTGCTTTTAAAACAGACCGCTGGAGGTCTCATTTAGAAAAGAATTATGACTTTTGTAACTGTGTCAGTGTTCAATGTAAAGCAAATTGTACACTTTCAATTGTAATTTAGCAATGATTGAAGTACATTAAAGTTCCCTTTAAAGTTTTCATATGCAAAAAGAAACCAACCGAAGCGGTCAAAGCTGCTCTGGTGGGTTGAGGGCTCATCAAGTGGTTTAACTTCTGGCTTTCAGATGAATTTTTGCTGCATAAAGCAAATCAACACAAGTGCAGTGCAGATTTGTAGAGGTGGGGCATGTCTCATATTTATTTCCCTGCTGTAGTACAACAGATTGTATCTGAGACTGAGCAAAGCTTAAAAAAAGGCAGCCTGTAAGATATTAGCAGACATTTGGAGACAGTTTTGATTCGGAGGAGTATAATAGAATTTTGAAATCACAGTCCCAGTTTTCATATACCTTTATGATAAGACGATATCGGTTCAAGAGAAATAATTGAGGATATATACATTAAAGATTCTGCTGTGTTTACCCCATTTTATTCAATTTTCCACAGACACAAATACATTGTTATAAACATTGCTGTTAGTCTCTGTTTGCTAAAAATCAGAAACACCAAGGAAACTGACACTGATGCCTGAATTTGATGTCACTATCTTGTGTGTGCAAATGCATATGATGGAAGGGGAAAGAGGGATGAAAGCATTCTTAAATGGAGGTCAGATAAGTGAGGACATTACATTATTGTGCAACAGCTTGTCTAATCTCATTCATAAAAGCTCAGTAATTCCTCTATCTCCTTTCAAATACAGACTAAATGACAGAGACAATGAGACAGTTATAATTAACCACAGCGTTGTGCTCAGTATTGATGGCAAGCTCTAAAGGGCATATGTTTTAAAAGTTAATAGAGCAAAAAATGTTGGAAACTGTTCAGTTGAGTACATATATCAAATTTTCCTTTCTTGTCAGTAGATTCTGTTGAGGGAGCCTAGATATTTTGGGGAAAATAATTTCTTGGCGTCTCATTTCTGGCTTGCTCCTCCAGAATCAGAGAATTACAAGCTAAAACTGTCCTACTGCAGCAGTTAGGGTAGTAAAACATTCAGGCGCACCGTTTAAATGCTTTCAGAAACACTGATAATTTAGTGCCTGACCATAACAGAACAGGTTCACTGTTACACTTGGTTTTGGATGGTTTTGCCACAGAGACAATGCAAGACTACTTTGTGGCACTTGTTCTTTCTGGCAAGAGCCATCAGGATTGTACACTGTAAATGTGAATATTTATTCTGTTTGAATGTTTAATCAGGACGTATGCTGAGGATGGGCTTAGTTTGTTTTAATACTTACATTTACGCTAAAACACATATTAGGAATATAGAGATGAATTCTGGTACTTGGGATTCTCCAGTGCTTCTTATTAATCTGGCTAATTTCACATAATTTGACAGAAAATTAATTAATCAGAGCCTCAGAAATAACAAAAAGTTAACATATTATGCTACCCTGCAATTCAATTTACACCTAGCAGTAAAAATCCCCACAGAAACCATTTACCATATCCTCAATCTGGTTGTGAAACAACTTTCTCAACATCAAATGAAACAGATAAAGCCTGACTAGCTTCACCCAAGGATTTTCAAGACAATATTAAGAACCATCTGCATGGATCAAAAGTTAACCTTGTGCTATTGCTGTGATTTCAAAACTTGAGATATTTCAGGTGGGTATGCGTCTTCTGACCCCAGCTCACAACATCTGTATTTACTTTATCAAAGAACATTTCTTCAAATGTAGGCAGTGATTAACATTCCCAGAATGCACCTAGCTTTACAGAAGTAAGCATGATAGATGGTGGTAGTGGGTGGGCAATAAAGTCTGTCTTTTTAGTCAGAATCCCGTAAACTGCAACAACAATGTACAGTAATCAGTTTGATTGGCTCATTTATGGATATCTTATGAGGTGACATCAAGAGCACTGACATGATACTCGTTTCCTTGCAGATGGTAAACTCTTAGTGTTACACATGGTTAGTTCATTGTAGTACATCACATTTAAGACTTGTAGTGGAATGATTCTTCATTTAAATATGTAAACTCCTACAACATTAAATTTCCACTATTAGATGGAAAATAGTAAAGGTACCATTCTAGAGCTACAAAAGAAAATGAAATGTAACTATTAGACACTTCTATATTACTTCAGACCCATCAGGTCTTTACATCCATCAGGTGTCAGATATGCATAGAGCTTCATCATGTGTCTGTGGTGGAACTAAAGAAAACATGGACAAACTGGGGGCAATGGGGAAACATGTGCTTTCACCATCATTTCAATGCCAGTTCCTCCAGCACTCAACATTTTCAGAATTGGATTGCCTCCTGCTCGCTCCCTCTCCAACTACTCCTCAATTTCCAGTATCAGGTCGTCTCCCTCCAAAGAGGTGTCAGCTGTGACATGTACAGCCTTAACGGTGCCAGCCACAGGGGAGTTGACTACAGTCTCCATCTTCATGGCCGAAAGGACACACAGCGGCTGTCCTTTCTCCACCTGTCAATGAGGATGGTACATAGAGTTAAAAACGCATACAAAGAGAAATGCGATTCCACCATTTTGTTACTCAAAAGTTCTCACATACGTATAAAAGTAGATTACCACTTTATTTTTCAAGATTTGTATTGAATAAGTAAATCTTGAGTACATTTTCTCTGTCACAAATCATTTAATCCACAAATGGATGAAAAACATGATGTCTTGGTGCAGATGAGAGCTGTGCCACATTTCCACCTCCTGGTGTATCTTATGTGACAGAACGTGCCCCTCTTTACAGAGGTAAAGACGGGCACGTTCTTCTGGTGTACTTTCAGTCTTTGTAATTGAAATATGTTGTTTCTGTTTATTGAGAAATTTTAAAAAGCTACAATAATTATCATTTTTTTATTTTACAGTAAGGGGGGTACAGATGATTAAACTTTTTTTTTTTTTTACAGTTTAATAAAATAAAAATAAACGTTTTTGTATTAAAAGCAGCACTGCAGGTCTCCCCTTCTCTATCTCTGCCCCCTTTCCTGTCAAGCTACTGTCATTAAAGGCCACTAGAGCCAACAAAATCTTTAAAAAAAACAAAAAAAAAGCAGCACTGCAGATAGTTGCTTATGAAGTGGTCCACTTTCCAAACACAGCACTGCATACATGTCGTTCTTATTTTTTACCATAAAAAAATATTCACCCTAACAACTGTTCTGATGTAGAGGCAGAAAACTTCAGTACAAACTAGTGAATGTGTATCGTCAGTATTACTCCGATACCATAGTCCCTGATTTCAGGATAATGTTTCATGATACTTTGGCATAAAAATAACCGCCTTTGTACTGATGCAACAAGAAGCACATCACAAGTGTCAATCTCAGAAACTCCCATTTAGAATTAAGTTTAAAAAAAGACGTGCTCTGACTGGTTTGAGAAACTGCTTGATTGCAAAATATTGGACGAAAAATCTTTAACAGTAAACTGACCTTGGATCCTGCTTCAACTTTAACCTCCAAGACTTTTCCAGGCATGGGTGCACCCACTTGACCCTTGATGGACTTCTGAGCTTTTGGATGAAACTTCATTTCCTGGATAAAGGGAAAGAAAAAAGTGTGTGCAATTGTCAGCAGAATATCTCTTAGATTGCAACCTGGATGTTTATTCCAATGACATCCTCTCCTTATTTACCCTTTCTCAGTTTGTACCCTTTTATTAATACCTTCCTATATAGAGATAACTGTTATACAATGATCCCATTTACCTCCACACACCCCATCAACTATCCCCACTCTACATTATACCCCTTCCTCCATGTATTTTGTGTACCTTCATGGCAACGGTGTCTTTGACCAGTACAGATCTCAGCTGCCCATTCAGCTCAAAAAAGACTTCTCTCTGGCCAGCTTTGTTCAGGTCGCCCAGTGCCAGGGCCTTGATGTGGAGGGTCTTCCCTCTCTCCAGCTCCACCTGATGGAGGATACATCATAGATATAGTGGGGGTGTAGATGTTATGGGAGAGGTGGTGTAAAGAAAGAGAAGTGCGATCATGTTAAAGATCTGGAATTAAAATCCAGCAATCAGTTCGGCTCAGGGAGTAAAGGCAGAGAGAGGCAGAAAGTAAAGTCAGTGGAGTAAGACACACATTTCCTCTTATTTTCATATGCACGGCAGATATGTTTTACAGCCGTAACAACTATAAATGTAGAAGCATCACAAATGTAGTTGCTGTTTTCTCCCTTTTAAATCAATGTCACTAAATCTAATCTCATCTTTAATAAAATCCTGCAACACACACCAATTTTGTTGGACTTCAGCTTTGGCAAAGTACAAAAAAGGAGCTTCCAACTTTGACTTAAGGCTAGTTATTAACATCTCCTTCAACAAAACATTTAAATGTGACTTTGTTCAGATAAGTGCAAATAAAAGCTTAATAAAGGATTTATAAAATTTTAGGCTTTAAATTCCCAAATTGTTTCCTAGTTTGCATCTACAAAATAGGCTTTTCAAACCCGGTGAAGTAAATCTGCCTGGAAAATACATTGTTGACAAAAAGAAACAATGAATTTTTAGGACATGAGCATATTTATTAAATATAAGTAGTCACAGATATAAAGCAAACATCTGCATACAGGGCATTTAGCTTCAATCTGGCAGTCGAACTGCTTGGATGGAACAACCCCCACATGAGCATTTTGTGGGGTTCTACTTTATTTTCAGTGACTGCTGCAAGGTTTGATTTTGTTGGCTAATTTATTTCACAGTGTCACAAAGTGGAATTACAACTACAAACTAGAATAATTTGAGGTTTAATTTTCACACTCAACTATTCAATTTTCAGCCTATAATTTAGGAAGAGGTGTGCTCCATCGATTGCATCTAATTTTTATTAGACTTCAATTCAGCATTAAAGATAAGAACTGCCAGATTTGTTCCAATCCCGTTTTTTTCAATCACCTCTCCAACACACGAATGCATCTATAGCTTGTGCGTGTTGACTGTAGACAGGCTTTAGCCAGACACAATCTGTCATCAAATAATGGATAAGTGGTGCAGACAGGATGACAATTACAGATAAACAGGTGAGGAGAAAGAGTCCCAGTAAAGGGGTCTTATAAGTTTACAGTTTCCCTGTCTTTATTAAAGCTGCAAACCTTCACTAGCTACATGTAGTTAGGGCCTTCTTAGATTAAAAACATTACTTAATGTCTTTTGTAAAACCAAGCAGACCCTTTCCTTTCAGGTCTGCTCACGGCTACTTCTGACTGGCAGGTCAACATGGCTACTGTACTTTTTCATTTATCTCATGTTTCTCATATTATATATTCTCTAACTCTAACCCTAACCCTAACTCCCCCCCCTCCACACCCACCCACCCACCTCTTCCCATTTTTCCCCAACTCTCTCCGACTTCTGTGCAAATCCTCCTGTGTGTCACCATTTTCCACCTCTTAGTGTTATTTTGCATCCCCTTTCTGAGCCAGCTCTGAACGGCCATTATCTGTTCCTCTCATCCGCTTATTTCAGTTTCTCTTTTATCTAACTCCCAACTTCCCATCTCTATCCTGTTTTTATTCACCTATTTTCATCGACCCCTCCACTCTGAGCTTCACTGTTCCCCACACTGCTATCGCAGGCTGCTGGGTCTAAATTGATATTCCAAACTAAGTCTCAGTGCAGAGACAAAAATACACCCTGCCGCAGCTATTCATTGATCTCCATTTTAGTCTGACTCTTTCTCTTCTTGCTTTTACTGTATTTCCTGTAGTGCTCATCTGGCATTAGACACCTTCTCTGCATGCTTTTACTTCTCTTGCACTTAGTCTTTACCCCCCCCAGTTCCATTTTTGCACATAGAATTTCTGTCCAGGTTTGCCGCTTTGCTTGGTACAAAAAACAAAAGGTTGTGTGGTTTTGACATGATACTCGCACAAAGTAGTTCCCACTAAGGATACAGGTAATGCCTTAGACTCTTCATGATGAGTAAATCTTAATTTTATAACCGTGCACTGCATGTTTCGGTGCCAAGCCTGATTAAAGTGACAACGGTTCTGTTCCATCCCTGAACAGAAAAAGAACTGTTTCCCTTAAATCAAAATCTTTGTTTCTCTGCGATTACTCAAGCCCCATTGCAGTCTAAATTATATAAAAAAATGGAAAGATTGAAGTTATGCAAAGTTGCTTCAAAAACATAAAATAACTTATTTTAAAAAATGGAACACTCTGTATAACAACCTCTTGAGATCGTCACAAAGTATGTTTCCCCGCAACGTTGAAGCTCTGAAGCTGGGTGCAGACAGCTGGGAAGGGGAAGAGAGAGAACTTGAGGCTATAACTGCCAAAGGCTACTCTCAACTCTCCTCAGTGGCTCTGATTTCATGTGACATAACATATGAAGTAATGCCACTGCAGCATAATCATAAGTAGCCCTCTTTAATAAAAGATAGATTTTAGAGGAAAACTAAAATAAATGACCATTTCCAACTTTTAATTGACTAAATACTGGTTGATGATGGACACAGAATCAGATGGCAATACCGCCACCCAAAAAATTGGAGTCCAACCAAAATAATTTGATCACATTGATTTTTGCTAAATTTGTTTGAATAAAAACAATAATTCATATATAAGGTCAGTACTATCAGCTCATCTGTTAAAGCTTTCATATACAATAAGGTCTCCTTCCTATAGTTTTGCTTACCAAAATATCATGTGTGTTGCTATCCATTATTACACTTGTGATAGCATCTATTTTGCTTTATGCATATTCCATATCTCAGCAATGCATCTGTGAGGCTCTCATCTAGATGGCCCTCACATGCTGCATGCATCTATCAAAGCAGGACCCTCAAGCACGGAGTACCAATCTAATCCATTCATCTGCTTATCCACTCAGCTATAATAATATGGACTGAAACAACCTTCCCATTACGCTTAGCATCTGATAAGACTTAATTTGTGACTTGCATCACCTGTGATGGAATAATGTGATTATGTGTTGGCGTCTGCACATTAGTAGAAGCAAACCGTGCATATATGACTTCTTGTATGTTCAAAACTGTCTATCAATCATGATATATAACCAGAGAGGTCATCAACAGGGACCAAATACATGCAGGTCAAATTTCTTCCTTCAGCTGTTTGTGTTTTGGGTGAATGTAAGCAACGGACAGAACCATTGCCTGTTTGTAGTGTAGGAGTACATTGCTTGTGTGTACATCTCAATATTGTACAGTAGTTATCATGTCCCTAAACTGGTTTAGCTTCATTTAAACCGAGCCAGGTTTGTCAGAATCTGTAAAAAAATCAAATAATCTGGAATGATCATCTTCAGATCAAATTGAGAAACAATGAAGTTGTGTCCTCCCACCTCATGCATGACCAGATGCATCTGTCAGGCTTGCTGTTAATTATTGCTTGATAGGTCTCTCAGAGGATTTGTAACCAGATTGAAATGAACTGCCAAACAATACTATATGATTACTGAAAGCTTTTATACCCAATTCCCAAAACATCAGCAACAGCGGGAGTTAGGGGTCTTTCAATCATGGAGTGGAGCTCTCAAAAGGATTTGGTGTTTAAATCTGATTTATCTCCTTTCCTCTGGACTTTTCTGTGCTTTAACACAACCTCCTGAAGTGCTACAAAAGATACAACACGGCAAAAGCTGCCATGCTCAATCATCAAAATAATGTTCCTGTTAAGGGTACCTTATAATTACCAAGACAACATGGCACCCACCTACACTGCGTGTCTGTACATTTCACCTGCATGAAACCATCAAGTCTCATGTGAAAATCTTTCTCTTGAATTAAAAATATTCAGGCCTCTGTGCAGCTTTGATGTACATGTCAATAATATACAAGCTATCAAATATATAGGAACCATGAGAGCTGGAGACCCTGATGCCTTATGTATTATATATCCTAAATGCTGAAATATATTGCCGTTTAAAACATTCACTGACTTTACCAAGGTTGACTTATATAAATAACGTTACATTTAAATTTAATTTACTTGCATAATGTTTACAATTAAATATGAATTTGTAAGATCTGATGGTAGAAGCTGCTGAAGTATCTCATTGCTGATTTCCATTTGCATTTCCCTATTCTGGTGTTTTAAAATGTTCTGTCGTCAGTTTAGTCGTTTCTGTACACCAAAAATAAAATCAAACTATGAATTCTCTGTGGCATTGTACTGTATATTATACTTCACCTTCATCTGAAAAATAACACTTCAGTTTGAGCTGTCCCAAAAGTTGCAGGTAGCTGTCAGAAGAATCTCCTTGGAATTCACTTCTGATTCTAGATTTGAACACTTAAGTCTGACTTCTGCTCATAAAACCTTCCTCCTCATTATTCTGAAATGCCCCCTGTTAAATTGCACTTGCTGGATAAGAACTGGATATTCAAACTTGATCGCTCTTGGTCTAAAGAATCCTCCAGTCAATGCACCATCTCAAGATATTTATGACTTCTGTGGACTAGTTGATATTAAAGATTGTTCCTGCTGTTGTACATGTTGGGTTTGGTGCATTTTGCTTTGCATGACTTTTGTTTTACACATAATTTTAAAATGCACTTCAAGTGCAGTTTTAGACTTTTATAAACTTTAGATTTTTTCATCTGCAAACTACCTTAGTACTTGAGTTAGGAGTTTTACTATTCATGGTCAGTATTTGGCAATTTAACAAATATATATTTCTAAGAAAAATGTCAGGCGTACAGAATGGGTTGAAAATTGTATTTGAAATGTTCTCAGAAAGTCTGGAGAGCCTTGCCCTAAATGGTGCAAAAACAAAGCATGAAACTGACCACTTGGAACCATAATATTTAAAGAAATGTAGGCCTTTTGACAAGACTTTTGAAAAACTGTGTTTTTAAATGCAAAAGAATAAACAGACTTTAAGTAAACAACTATAAATAAAGTTGTGTACCTCAAACTCCTCAGCAATCTTTGGTCCATCCAGGAAGAGCCTGGTGTTGAGACAATCCACAGGGCCAAAGTTAGCTGGAGACAGAGAGAAATCAAACAACATGTCAATGTGCACTGTTGCATAAACATTTAGACTGCAATATGGGAAATTACTAACAAGAGTCACAAATCCTGGAAAATGAGATTGTGAATGACATCTAATATAAAAAAGGGGCCAAAAATTCAAACCAGAAAAGTAAATAATGATGACTTGTTAAGACTTGTGTCAAGCAGTGAGAATAAACAACTGTAGGCTAATTAAACCTCCTCAGCAAAGGGCACTACTCCTTTACAGCTATCAACATCCAGCTTCTTTAAAGCAGCAGCTCAAGGTAATCCAGGCAGTCGAGTGTTATGGCAGCTGCTTCAAACGAGTCAGTCAAATCTAGCAAATCACTCTTTGCTGGAAAGCACTGCTCCCCTTTAAAACTGAAGTTTTCAAGATGGACCGAATTCTCCTTTTACTAACCCTGAACTTCCAAACTCAATGCCATTGAGATTTAAGATTATCGGATAGGGATTGTTGGTTAGTAGAACAAAAAAACTAAAACAACCCCCACACACAAATATACTCAATGCAAGATGTGAATAATTCCAAATTTCACATAAACCAACATGTTTCCCCTTTTTTTCCCCAATGTTTACAAGTGTATGTTAAAAAGTTCACCAGCTCACCAGTGAACTCCTTGAACTCCTGGAACACCTTGGGGTACATGGCTGCTGACATCACATCCTCGGGAGTAATTTCATCACCATGTGAAGCTCGGAGCCCTTCCTCTAGGGCTTTAAAGTCCATCGGTGGCAGAGAAGCACCAGGACGACCCTCAATACGTGCTAGGGACTTCAGCACCTTGGATGATAACATGGTGATAGTGAGACATAAAGGAACCCGTTTACTATGAACATTCAAAGAGGTGGTATCTTTATGAGGCCTTTCTGCTTGTATAAATCCTATAAACAGCAAAGCAAGAAGTTTGAATAAAGTAAGGATTGAAGGAGATGTAAGAAAGAAATACAAGGCATAAAGATAGTAAAGTGATTGAAGTGTTTCCTTGAATGTACTGAAGGTGAATCAGAGTTTGAAAATGTTTTCTACTCAAGTTAGGTGATCACCAGTCAATCATCCACCAACTATTGTGTAATAATAATGCAAAATCCCTGTATTTTTTCTCCAAAAAGTAATAAAATACAATGGATGAATTAATTAATACAATGAATGGGGGAAAAAAGAGTGAAGGCCATTGCAAGAGTAACATAACTTATGCCTGCCGACCGCACAGTTGTTTGCATTTCAAGTCCAAAAAATTGTTTTGCAAAGAATAATTCATGTTTTAATAATACTATCCATAGAGGGTACTCGGATCAGACACAGAAGGCTGTGGGAATACAAAGTATTTGCAGGCTCAGACAAATAATCTCCATATAATTAACCTATTTATTTTGTGCTTCTTAAAATGTTTGGAAACATGCAAACAGAAGCTTTTAACAAACCCACACAACTGTGTGTGTGTGTGTACTGAGACTTTTTAAAATATGTATTGCTAATAATCGCCTTAAGCTCACACAGTTTGGTTAATTGTGTGTAAGTGGCACTGTATGCATGTACTTAAAGACCAAGTCAAATGCCTCCAACGTAGCAACATAGTGTATATGCATGGGAGCTGTGTGTGTATCATGTACTGTAACACACACACCAAACAGTGTGTGCTTCATCATATCTGTGAGTGCATGGGTGTATGTCTTGGAGAGATATGCAGACAAAAGACCTGGTGCAAAGCCATTAGTCACAGAGCTAACAGTTCAAAGATAGCTGACTCATTTGTGTGTTAGAGAGACACTTCAAAGATGGCAGACTCACTGGAGTCCCTGCTCATTACCGGTCTCCTCTGAGGATGTCTTGCACCTAAACTGCTTGATTGTTGAAGTGTGAAACTCTGTTGGATTGTGGCACAGTGTCAGCATTAACAAATTCTTCCCTACAAGATTTGTTGCTCTTTGCTCTCACTTTTATTGAAACACCTCGACAATAGATTCCAACTATTTCCCCCCTATTAATGACTTCAGCTGTCCTTTCTCCAAGTGTGATGATATTAAGAATCTGCTGCATTTTTTTTAAACAAAAGAAAGACTCTTCTCCCCCACTGCCTTAGTATTTCTGCCTTGAATCTGACCTTGTTTCTCTGTGTTGTCCATCATCTATCCACCCACAGCACACAGGAGCTAAGTGTAGCAGAGCCTAGATGAGGAAACAACTCCATGCTGTGCCGTTGTCACACAGGTGAAATCCTCATCAAATCCATCTGTTGCATGGTGCACTGTTATGAGCTTTGCTTGTCAAGTTGCACATTATACAGAGCTAATTTGACGATTGGCAATACTGGCTCATTGCCTACCTGTGCATTCTCTGGTATACTTGCAAGATAGATAAAGCATCTGCTAAATGAGTAAATGTAAATAATAAATACAAAATAAAAAAACAGATTGAAGGCCTAACATTGTAGATTCAAATACAGAAAGCTAAATACAACTTGTGGAATTCAAACATAAATCTGCTTGAGGGTTGAGCTGTAGCAACAGACTAACAGACATTATCTGTACAATATGTCCAACTCCATTGTCACGGCCACTGCCCTATTCTGTGAGGGGATGGACTTCCTCTCTGTTCATGACGCCTGACTACAGCTCCCAAGGTTCCTGCAGTAACGAGCTGATGCCATCCACCTGCGAGGTCGCCATTCCACCGATCAGGAGGGGCCACCCGACAGATTTAAGGAGACGGGAGTCAAGAACCCGTGGAGCATATTGTTACGGCCCTGCTCCCATGCCTGTGTGTACTCCTTTGGAGGATATTTTTTTGGAACTGTGCTGTGGCACTTGAATCTAATTTGAACTGTTTTGAATAATTCTAGTTTGGTTTTGTGTGTTTTTTTTTGTACTGCCTTGGATCCTTTGGTTTAAGTGCAGTTGGCTTGTGTTCTGTCTTGTTACTATTTTGGGGATTTGACTGCTGTCTTTATGTTCATTGGCTCAATCTTTCCTTTAGTTAATAAATAACTATTTGCCATCACCAAGATCATCTGGTTTGTATTACATCCCTTTTCCTTCAAGGAGCTGGTTGTAACACCACGAAAACCACAGATTATAAATTTATGGGTTGCAAAGCAGTGAAAAATATATTAATATACACCATAGTAGTTTGCAAAGTTGCACTTTAGTGGGAGAGCTATAGAGAGGAATTAAAAGGACAGCCTGACTAATTCAGTAAAAAAATGGTCTGCAATTTATGTATGTTTATTAATGGAAGCTCCATACTGGATGGACTGTTTAAAATAATGTATGGTCAATCAAAAACATGACAAGTACAAGGGCAAAAGAGAACAGTGGATTATATGACTGTATTTAGATGATGTTCTGCGATTGTAAAAAAAAAAAAAAAAAAAATTTAAAATCAATAAGAAAACCAATGCTTTTAACATTAAATCTATTCCCACTCTAATTTAATTGTAATGACTCCTGTACCACATTCTTTTCTAAATGTTATCGACTAAGGTTTGGCTGTCAGTACCAAAACTGGGGGGGGGGGGGGTTCCCCCTGTATGTGAAGATTAATTATAAATATTTGATCTTGTTATCTCCCAGAATAAGGAGGCAGGGGGAGAATTGAGAAGGTTGGCCGGATGACAGGAGTTGGTGTCGTGGAGGCAAACAAAGAGGGAAGCAATGAAAGGGGGAAAGAAACTTGATGAGAACACAAATAAATTGATGGGCAGGTTTCTTATGCAAGTTAGCAATGAACCATGTGGGAAGCTAAATATAAAAATGAATATTACAGAGCAGATAATGAATAAAATAAGTCAATGGGCAGAAAAAAATGAATAAATTATTTCAGTTTCTGCAGAAACACGGCAAGAAATGCACTGAGTATATGGAGAATGTCGTCAGCCACATGGAGTGACAAAAAGGCTGACCTTTAAAAAGAGCAGGTACTCTCGCACCCCAGACATTTCTCTATTCTGGCTAGTGTATACGAGTGTGTGCGCACGCACATGTGCGGGGAAGATGATCTTATTACGTCTCATGAAGAAAAAACAAAAAAAACTACTTTTTTTGTAAATATCAAGGCAGCCAATCCTGTCATCCAGTTATAGAACAGTTTGACACCGACACTATTGATCATGTCCATAAATATGTCTCAGGAAGTCTTAAGTTGTGGGATCCTGATTTGCAATAGTGTCAATGTTGTTCGTTACTGCTCTGAGAAACAAAAAGTAAATGAGGGTAATAAAAAAAAGACCAATAACAATTTTCTTTAATATCCAGCTTGGTACAAAAGGATGTCAAAGGCTTTGAAGAAAAATGCCAATTTGTCTGCATACGTGAAAGTACCATTATACGGACTTCTGTGTTTATGGTTAGTTACATATAAGGTACACATTTGTAAGGGTTGTTTATCGTGCTATTATTTAGGAAATAATGCAGGTTGAGTTAAAAAATGGAAAGATGGAAACATTAAAGTACCTTAGATCTGAACGGCTCGGGAAACCCTCCATGTGGTATTCCGATGTATCCCTGCAAGAACTCTACCACTGACAGGGGGAAGGATAGCTCATCTGCCCTCTCCTCCACCTCTGCTCTGGTCAGGTTGTTCTGCACCATAAACTGAGCCAGGTCACCCACGATCTTAGAAGATGGAGTCACCTGAAAAGGAAAGCAGAGTTAGAACCAAGTATTTGTTAGTGGGTGTACTACACCTTTGACAGAGGAGAGCAGCAAGTTTTAATCTGCTTTAGCCACCAGTGAAGTTATTCCATTTTCCCTTCAGGATGAGAATAACATGGGCTAGAATCTCAGGACAGAAAATACCCAATTTCGTCAGGCCAAGAAGGACTGCATTATTCATCTCTGTTGAAGAACCTGACATTTTAATCTGACTAGCATAAGCATTTTACAGAAAAAAAAAAACAGGAACGTATTGAAGATAATGCCAGTTTCAACAACGCAAGACATTTATCTTGCTTTCTGCAAGCTGTCTGAGTTGCATGGAGGGTGGCACAATTTGGTGGGAACAGGTCAACTCTCTTTTTTAAAGATAAATGAAGATGCTGTCCACAAAGACTTAGGACCGAGTGGCCCGGCCAGAGATTTTAGATGTTTAGCTTTTGAAATTCGTTGCAATGGACCAAACTAAACATGGCTGCTCCGGGGAGCGATGAGTGCACGACACATTCACTTTTATTGTATTTTTTCTTTAATTTTTTAAGAATCTTTTTTAATTATATCATTATAGCAATAGCTATAGTGTAGTCTATAGTGTAGTATAGTGTAGTCTTGACTGTAAAGTGGACACTGATACAAATAATTATCGGACAAATGACTCTTCCATTGTCATGACTGAAAACTGTATCATTTTTGGCTACCTTATTGTAATTGAACCAAGAAAAGAAAAGCATGAGGTATAATCTTTGTTAAAATTCAATTCAGAGGTATTACATACAGTAATAAACACCAAAGACGGAGGGAGAAGATGAAAATAAATAAAAGCAGTTTTACATGCAACATTTGCCAGCGTCAGGTTCATGTTTAAAACCAGCTCTGATGAGCTCTGAAACTAAGCTGTGACAGCAGACGGAATGGGGAGAACAAAAGGCCGACCCACACCCTACTACAAGCATGTTTTTCTTTCCAGAGAGACACATGAAACACAGATATTAGGGGGCTTGTAGGGAACAATACAAGAAAGCCTCCAGCTGGTTGAGACAAGAGTGTGCTTTAAGGTTACACATCTCTGCCACTTCAGTTCAATTTGACTAGGTCTTAAAAACAGGACGTAAATGGTAGATGTCCTCTAAAAAGTTATTGTTTAAAGGCCAGCTGTTGAAGTTTCTGGAGAGACCAATAAATTTGCCTAGTTACAAGACAAAACCCACATGTTAGTCTGCCTCCTTCTGGCCAATTCTTCGCTAAATTGTTATAGCACTTTTAAACGCATATCTTGTTATACTTCACCTATATAAATCATTCCTCTTTCATCAAATTTCATCAAGCCAAAATGTTGACATCAACAGTCCACTTAGTCAGGTTCCGTGCCCTCCAGCCCAGCCGTCGACTAATTATTTTTCTTGGATCTACAGTGTCATCAACAGTGTGAAAACATTTGGTGAATCATCCTCCTCCAACTGTCTTTGGGTACAAATAAAGGAAAATAAATCATTACCTGTGTCTGAGCTATATGCAGTATGTGAGCTTTTTATATTTTAGAGGTTTGGTCAATAATATATATTTTATAAAAGCAACTTGTGTTTTTACGTAGTGGGACTGATTGTCATAATTTTATGAAGAAAAAATAAAATAAAAATACAATCAGGCATAAACTTGATGATAAACTGATCTGATGAATATTGGAAGGATAAGAGAAGGAAAGTCATAAGTATCTATATTTGAACCCAAATAAATAAAACTATTTATCCGTAATTAAATCACACATGGGGAAACTTAATCTTTGTTCCTGTATCCAATTGCAGGAAAATAACTTTTATGAGCCAAAGCACATGTAAAGTTGCAGGACTATTTGGGAAAAGACAAGGAATTCCTGCTTGAAGAGCAACTCATCGTACATGTGGGAGTTCATCATACATGTGAGTGCAGCCCAACTGGCCGCACATTTTTCTCCAACGCTGACACTTCAGCCAGTGAGTGTACATCTCTCTCGCTTTCATTAATATACAACTCCCATTAAGTGGACATGCATTACTCCACCCTCCTGGCAGCAGATGTCTGGCACGACTGAAAGTGTGAGAAAATGTAGTTTGTGTCTGAAAGTATTGCAGTGATCGTGCTTGGATGCCTTTGTGCTCCGTTTCTGTGTACTTTGCCCAAATTTGCTTTGAAAAGCAACTCTATCCAAACCTAGACTCCCCTAATGGGTAAAGGATTATATAATCTGAGAACAGAGTGTGCATCTGTGTCAGTGTTCGAAAGGGAGGGCAAATATAACTCACACACACACACACCATGTAAGCCAAGAGCAGAGTGAAGAATGGTACCTGTCAAAGGAAGAGGAGACAGGAGAGAGAAGTGATAACAAGAGGCTTAGAGATAGAGGAGGAGGAGGGGGGGATGATAGAAAGATCTGAGATGTATGAAGGAAGTCTAATCAAAATGAGAGAGGGTGGGAGGGAGTAATGAAGGAGGGGATGAAACTAAATGAAAATGGAGGGGGAGAGATGGCAGTGAGGGTGACAAAGGCTTTGGCAAGAAGAGTAGAGGGAGAAATCAAGGGATGGACAGATAAAACTAGGAAAAAAGAAAAAAGCAGAGAGGCCAGAGCTGTGGACATCTGCAGCCCAACGGGCAATCCAAGATGTGCTTCACCACCAAATGTAAGAGTCTGCGCTCTGAGAGGAGGTGAGTGAAAACATGGCTACAATGGGAAAAGCTAAGTGACAGAGAGAGGGGAAGGGCACAGACTAAAAAATGACAGTTTATATTGACAAGATGGTGTTGTAACTCATTTAGCCAAGTGAGGATAAGGAAGAGCTGACAAAAAAAGCTGACAGCTAAAGTCAACACCAAATGATCAGAGAAGCTTTCCCATTATTTACCCAATTTCAGCGTATTCCTTAGCCACATTGGAGATGCCATGAATTAAACAGCACCTGTCGGCTTTAGATACATGTAGCCTTTAATTGATTTGTCTATTTTAGCACAAGTGCCTTTAAACTAAAGTGTTGCTGAGTAGCTTTACAAGTTATTGAAGCAGGAAAAGTTTTTTTTCTTATTTTCACTTTGCCATCTTAAGCTACGTTGGCACTACATGAGAGAGCTTATTATAAACACAGACAGCTGAAGAGAAAGTATACAGTCATGGCCAAAAGTTTGGAGAATGATTCAGATGTTAATATTTACAAAGTCTACTGCTTCAGTTTTTATAACAGCAATTTGTATATACTCTGATGACTCCCCTTTCCCATAGTTTGGGACATCTGGAAAACGGCTTGTTCGGAGAAGACGAGGTGAGCGCTACCACCAGTCTTGTCTCATGCCAAGTGTAAAGCATCCTGAAACCATTCATGTGTGGGGTTGCCTCTCAGTCAAGGGAGTCAGCTCTCTCACAGTTTTACCTAAAAACACAGCCATGAATAAAGAATGGAACCAGAATGTCCTCCGAGAGCAACTTCTCCCAACCGTCCAAATGCAGTTTGGTGATGAACAAGGCCTTTTCCAGCATGATGGAGCACCTTGCCATAAAGCAAAGGTGATATCTTACTGGCTCAGGGAACAAAACATAGAGATTTTGGGTCCATCGCCTGGAAACTCCCCATATCTTAATCCCATTGAAAACTTATGGTCAATCATCAAGAGACGGGTGAAAAAATGAAAACCTAGGAATTCTGACAAAATTCAAGCATTGATTGTATTTCTGTATTGATGACAAAATCTGACATACACACATGAAAACCAGAGGGCAGCAGATCATGTGAAAATATAATATTTGTGTCATTCTCAATACTTTTGGCCATGACTGTACATAAAAAGTTGTGCAAAAAATATTTTCATGTATAAGACCAATATATATATATATATATATTTTTTTTTTTTTTTTCTTTTTTTTAAATCATAACTTTCAAGGTCCCTACAGCTTGGTTTCTTTTATATTTTAGCACTGCTGTCTTTCCGAGTATATCCGTTCTTTTTAAATTCATTAAGAGATTGCAGCTGTGATGCAGCTCATGTGGAGAAGACCAAACCAAAAACAAAGGTTTGACATTTATGATAGCTGCATCTACATCCACACAAATGTGGTAACTGGTAATGTCACACAAGTTTATTTAGACAGCTCTGTAGTTTGAATTGAGTTTACTTTTGTATGGTTTGATTGCTTAAATTGTTTTTTTCGGAGTTACTGCAGCCGTTCCCGTCGTTTGGCTGAGTAACCAGCAGGTGGCCAAGGGGCAGCGCTGACCACCAGAATCGAGGGGGGTTTGGGTTCTGCTTTATTAGTTTCAGGTTTTTGTGTATACGCACACAAAGTCTCAATTTGTTACCAGTTATTTGACTAGTTGTGTTACTTCTACTAGTTGTGACCTCTTTTATGGACATATTTTTTTGCATCAACTGAACGTTCATCATTTTGGAGAATATTAGTTTTAAATTGATCATAGTATTCAATAAAAGCTTGAATGTAATACTAAATAGCATCTTTCTGATGATTCTCTTTACACTGTTCTACAAGTTGAACACTACAAGACATCACTATTTGTATTCTTTGAGTGCAGAGCTAAATTCAAATGGGTGAATACATATTCAAAACATTAATCTAGTGTTGGACAATCAATGCTCCCTAGGCTAAAAATTGATTATTTTAAAAATTTCTAAAATGCACATCTATCATTCTGTTAGCTGCCCCGTCTTTTCCCTGCATGCATTATGTCAAACATCCACCGTCTCTAAAAATCTGCAGTACCTGACAAATTTATGATGGCTAAAAGACCATCAACACAGATGTGATTTGACAATAAAGTTTCTCAGCATACTGATCAAAGCTGCACTTTAAGTAGCAATTCTTTCAATTCCAGGTGCTTCAATGTGCTATATAATAAGTTTATGATAGTTTGTCAGGGTCCACACACACTTTGTCCCCCTTCCATATCTATCTATCTATCTATCTATCTATCTATCTATCTATCTATCTAT